ATGCAAGCAGACAGAAGCACCCTTGGTGGAGGGCAGCCAAGGAAACTCATCAGGGCCTGGGCCTCAGGCCCTCTGGACCCTGGGCCTTAATGAGTCAAGCCATCCTGCAGACTGCCTTGCTCAGACTCCAGATATGGTCTGACCACACTCTAAGCAGGAGTAAAATTCCTGGTGCACGTTAGAAGGGGTGTGTGGGGGAGCCAAGTCCCTGGGCTTGGACATGCAGCTCTCTTTGTTCCTCTCCCAGAAGTGGCTGCGATGGAAAATTACCCAGAACAGGAACGCCAGAGTCATGGGGGTCGCCAAACCACAGCTCCTCAGGCAGCCCCACTCAAGGGTCCACACAGGACCCACTCCCTCCAGATGAACCACTGCTGGAGAACCCTGGGAATGAAGCTGGCTTCTCAGTGCCCCACCCCCACCAATACTCGGGAGGACGCAGGAAGCTGGTGACTTCCCTGAAAATTTAAACAGCCCTTCCCAGGGAGAGGGGTGGGATAGGAAGTGCTCAGCAAAGCCTCAACACCACTTTCTTCAGCGCTAGGCAGGTGACCTGGGTTTTCACCTGCTTGCTGCGTGACCTGGAACCACTTACCTCTCATTCTGAGTCTCAGCTACTGGATCTGTAAAATGGGACTAACCCTTCCTTCGGTCACTCTGCAGAGGCAGGGAGGGTGTTTCAGAGTCATCATCGCGACAGATCTGCCTCACTGTTTTTTGTTTGGTTTGGTTTCTTGTTTTGAGAGTCTCGCTCTATAGCCCAGGCTGGAGTGCAGCAGCAGGATCTTGGCTCACTGTAACCTTCGCCTCCCAGGTTCAAGCGATTCTCCTGTCTCAGCCTCCTGAGTAGCTGAGATGACAGGCTCACGCCACCACACCTGGCTAATTTTTTTATTTTTCGTAGAGATGGGGTTTCACCATATTGGTCAGGCTGGTCTTGAACTCCTGACCTCAGGTGATCCACCCACCTCGGCCTCCCAAAGTGCTGGGATTACAGGCCTGAGCCACCACAACCTGTGTCGTTGCTGTTTTTGAGACAGAGTCTCCTGTTGTCCAGGCTGGAGTGCAGTGGCGCAATCTCAGCTCACTGCAACCTCCACCTCCCGGGTTCAAGCGATTCTCTTGCCTCAGCCTCCAGAGTATATGGGATTACAGACATACACCACCACACCGGCTAATTTTTGTATTTTTCGTAGAGATGGGGTTTCATCATGTTGGCCAGGCTGCTTTCAAACTCCTGGCCTCCAGTAATCCGCCCACCACGGCTTCCCAAAGTGCTGGGTTTACAGCACTGCCCCCGGACCGCCTCACCATTTTTTAAATGGGTTACCACATATGTAAATAGTATAGCTCAATAAATATGCACTCCATACTGGAGGAGTTAGGGGAGAGGGAAAGAAGATAAGCCAAAATCAACAGGAGACCCGCAGCCCAGAAAATCAAACTGAAACCCCCATGGGGAACAGTCCGACGTGGGGGTGGGAGGAATTTACATCTTTGCCACTAAAGAAACAAATCTGCCTCACAGCCTGGGATTACCAGAGCAACCCTCAAGGTGAGGGTAGGGGAAGCCAGGAGAGGGGATCCATTTTTCAGGGGGAACATGCTTGTCTTGGCAGCTCCTCCCTTCAAAGATCCTGAGACCTCGAAACGGGACCCGCTTGGCTGGGGAACGTTGAGCACACCCAAGGATCGTGGACACAAGCCCTCTTCGGGTGTGCCTGTCAGGGGTCAGGGATCCAGCCTGGTCCACGGTGACCCCAGCCCGGCGGGTTCTGCACCGTCTACAATCGCTGAGCGCTTACAGCGTGCCCAGTGCTCTTTAAACCCACTACCTCCTCCCCACAGCCTCAGGCGGTTGAGGCTGTTACCATCCCATTTTACAGGTGAGCCAATTGAGGCACGTGGAGCGGGGCGGTGAAGCGACTTGCCCAGGATCTCCCCAGCACTGCTGCCCCTGATTTTGTCGGGGCTGGAGGCAGCGGGAGAGTCGGGCCAGCTCCGGTTGGCGCGCGGGCCAGGGCAGCGGCTGGAGACCCAGGGGAGCCGGGGCGCCGAGCCAGACCAGCCCAACCCCCCGGGCCCGGCGCAGCCAATGGGCGCCCGGCCCGGAGTGGGGTGACGCGGCGTCAGCGCGTAACTCCCGGGAGCCCGGCCCAGGGTCACATGCGCTGCGCCCGCTCGACCCGGGGAGGCGGAGGGGGAGCGGCGGGGAGCGGCTGGGCTCAGCCCCCAGGCCAGCCACCTGGCCGGGACTGCCGCCAGGTGCGCGTCCCGGGCACCGGGCGGACTAACCTAGGACTGCCCCACCCGGGACTGCGTGGAGCCCCCAGAGCGGAGGATTCTGCCCAAGTCGCTCAGCCCGGCCCCCACCCGACCTCGGCTTTGCCAACTGGGAGATAGGGGTTCGCGTCTCCCCCGCTTCCTCTCCAAGCCTCTTAGAGACTGGGAGGCAGCTTCTGTGGGTTCCGAGCCTTTTCGGGCAGGCGTCCAGCGCAGGCAGGACCTCTTCCCAGGCCGCTGGTCCTGTCCAGCCATGCCCTTGGTGCTCGGAGCTCAGCGGTGGGTGGTAGGGCAGGCACTGGGCAGGAAGACTGGGTTGGCCACTCTCGCCATTGCCTAGGCTACTGAAACCCCTCCCCACTCCCAGAGCCTCCTGCCGCCCTGGCTGGCGCTGCATAGCCTTCACTGCTGTAGGAGCCAAGCTGGGTTACGTTTCTGCCCCGAAGGAAACAAATCTTTGCCCCACAGGCTGGGCCCTGCCCAGATTATGGCCGAGGCACCAGGAGGAGGGAAGAGACTGCTCAGAGCCTGAGTCCCCCCTTCCCCTTCTCCATCTGTACATAATGGGGTGAGATGACTGTGGACGTGGAAGATTCTGGTCCTAGGTGACCCTCGTGCTCTCTTTCCCGCTTGAGCTCTGCGGTGAGCTGGGCAAGTTCTTTCCAGCCCTCTCTGAGCCTCCATGGCCAGCTTTGCCCTGGAGGTTCACACTCATGTGGGCACCATGAGTCACTGAACACGCCCTCCACAAAAGAGCTACTTGAACCCCAAAGATTGCTGCACAATGAGAGGTGTAGCTCACAAAGACTGAGGAAGACTGATACCTGTTCCCTGGGGGGTAACTGGCTCTTTGGGGAGAGGCCAAGCGCATATTGAATGGGGTGAGTCCTGCTGGCAGAAGAGAGAGTGAGGAAATCAATGTAATAAGGCCCCTGTGGGCACTGGGTTGACCAGCCACTATACCAGTTTATGGATCAGGAGAGTAAAGAGCAGAGTGAGACAGTGACTTACTCAACACCTGCAGTTAAGCCTGCAACCCCAGATAGGCATGGGGTGGACAGGAGGTGGCAGCAGACAATGGAGTCCACTCCCTAGTGCTGAGAGTAGAGATTTTGCTTTCTGGGATGTTAAGGGTCTCGGCTTGGAGGCCCTAGACAGACTCCTCTGGGTTCTGCCCCGAAAGCTCTGACAGGGGCTCCTCTAAAATAAACTGGTGGAATTTCTGGGTGGGTCATATAAACCTATCCAAGGTCTCAGGTTCAGCCCTTCCCCCTACCACCAGGACCCAAAGGAGCCCCTTTTCTTGAAAAAGAGGTGGTTTGGAAAAGAATTCCTCTTTCTCCTTTCCTGGGCAGGTGCATTGTGAGCCATGAAGGAACCACAGTTCTCCACGCAGCCCCTCCCAGATCTCTGGGGATGGAAAACAGCTCTCCATCCAAGGGCTGAGGAGGGAAGACTGGGAGAGCCCAGGAGTTTGTCTGTGTCCAAGTCTATGTCCTCCGTGTGTCACTCCCATCTCTGGCCCTCTCCGTCCTCACTGCAGTGACCATCTATTGATTGTGCCTGGTTATGACTGGTGATGGTGGTGGTCACAGCATGGCCCCTGCCATGACCACCTGCCTCCGATCAGTGGGCAGGGGAGCCCCTCCTGAGCCACCCTCCTGGAAGGGCTGCTGCTGAGGGTGCGTGGGGCAGCTTTATCTGCTGGCAATGGAATTGATGTCTTTCCTGCCCATCCATGGCCCTGTCTGGGGGGTCTGGCTCTGGCTGGGTTGGCTGCTGGTTCCACCACTACTCCCTGTACAGCCTGGGGCAAGCCTACAGCTCTTTCTGGTCCTCCGTGTCTTCACTGGCATAGCGAGAGGCTGGGCAGATCTCCAGGTTCACTAGGGGTTTGGTGAGTCCACCCCAACTTGAGGTCCATCCTTAAGCCCCAGCGAAGGGATGAAAGGGCCCTTGGCCTCCCAAGCCACCTGGAGAAGGCACAGGTCCTACAGGCTCCCACAATGCACCCCTCGTGACTCCCTGTGCCTCTGGGCCTGCCTCTGCGTCTGGGGGCCTGCTTCCAGGACAGCTGCCTTACAACAAAGGGGTGCAGGCGCCCACCTCCAGGACAAGGGGAGAGGGGGAAAGAAGGCTTTTTAGAAAGTCTTCTTCCTAAAGGCTTTGGGGATGGGAGGAGACAGATTTCTTTTGGGGGGGATAAAAATGTTCTCAGTTTGGTTGTGGTGATGGTTGCCCAACCCTGCGAATATTCTAAAAACTACTTAATTGTACACTTTAAATGGGTAAATTGTATGCTATGTGAAGTGTGGCTCAGTAGAGCTGTTAAAGAAAGTGTGACGTCTACCTGGCTTGGAGCAGCAGTTCTCAAATTCAGTGCCCAGCACAGGCTCTGCAGATGACGCCCACCCAAGCTGTGGGAACCCAGCTGAGGGTGGGGGCTGAGGCTTAAAGTGGGTCAGGGGTGGCTCAGGCATGCTTGCCCAAGGCCTGGGTGCCCTGGGCAAGGGTGAGTGGACTCCTTCCTGCCCATCTGGGACCTGGGGTGAGACCCAGGAACACCACTGCACTGGGTTCTGGAGCTCTCAGGCAGCCTGGGCAGTGGGGACGGGTGGACTGAGGGTCCCCATGGCCACCCCTGCTTAAAGAAAGCAGGTGGTCAAAACTGGCCCTTCGGATAGTCGTAGCTGATTCAACAGACCATGCAGGCACCCTTTGTTCAATTATTTATTTATTGTGGAGTATTTTACATGCAAGAACCCAACTAGAGAGAGGGTATCTGGAAGGAGGGCCAGTGGGGTGGATGGACGCTCTGAGCCTCGGGTGCACTGACCCACCCTCCAGAACCAGCTCTGCCCACAGACACACATGACAGTGACAAGAACACTAAACTTCTGGGACGAGTGGACAGCAAACGCAACATTCAGCACATTCCTCTTTTCAGTAGCCCCCGACAATCCTGAGAATTCTCACAAATTAAGTGCAAACTTTAGGAAATAAATATCCACCCCGCTCTCTGGGAGAGCCTGAAGGTATGGACAGACAGAAGCAGTTCTGAGTCGGGCTGACGCCTGCTCCCTGCGGCTGGTGGCTGCAGGGGAAGCCTGACGTGGACCCCACAGACAGGAAGGGCTGGAGACAGGCATGGGAGAGGGGAGGCGAGCACTTCAGGGGCTGACAGGCAATGTCTCTGAGGTGGAAACACTTCTTTCTGGGTGGGGAAGACTGGCTGTAACCCAAGTGGGTCAGACATCCCCACAGCCGACAGTGGAGAGGCTCCCAGGCCACCCCAGCAGTGCCAGAGGCTGAGGCCAGGCTGCAAGCAAGCACTCCTCCACACTGCTCCTCCTGAGGAGGAGTGCTGCCCAGGGCTGGCCTGGCCCTAGGAAGACCCATGGCCTACCCCGAGCCATCCAGGAGGCTGGGCCCGACTGAGTCAGCTGTGTGTGTGCGGGGCCCAAAGTGGGGTGTGGCAGCGGGAAGGAGGCGGGCAGGAGCGTGGGCATCAGCAGCAGCTGCCCTGTCAACGTCTGCTGCCCCTGGGCCATTTGGAGTCCTTGCCCCAACTCTCCAGCCTGGGGCCTCTCCTCCCCAGTGGCTGGAGTGACAGCACAGGCCCCAAGACCACGGGGTGGTGGGGTGGGGCGGTGGGGGAAGGCCAGTGAACCAAGGCACCATCACTCACATGGAGGCGCTAAAAGACAGAAAGACAGGACAGACGGATGGTCACCTTTCCCTCTGGCCCAGGCCAGCAGCAACCCCCTGAGGCTCCAGAGCTCCTTGTCCCATGCACAGTGGTAAGCCAGCCGGTCATTCTCCCAGCCTGGACACAGCCAGCCTGCTCAGTGCCTGGGGGCTGCCCTGGTAGGGACCACTCTGCCGCAGGCGGGCCAAAAGCCCACGGTGCCAGCAGCCAAACTGCACAAAGTGCCATTCTCTGCTGCCCACTGGCCAAACAGGTAGGCAGGAGGGAATGGTTAGTTTTCACATCTCAGCACACAATGAACACAGAAAGGGTTAAACACATTCCCAAGAAAATATTTTGACAAAATAAATATTTTAACCTATAATCAGGTATAATTAGTGCTTATGAGGAATCCCAGCAATAATTTAGTGTAATTAAGTATATACTGTATCTGTGGCTTCTAACACTCATGGAGAGGCTGGTGGCCCTTGAGAGTCCAGGTTTCCCAGCAGGGCTGCGCCCCCTTCCTGGACCAGGCAGCCTGGGGGCTGTGCTCCCCAGATGGTGGGGAGTGGGAGCAGAGGCCTTGGGATAGGACATCTCGCCAGGGCTGAGCAGAACCCCCTCTGGGGCACCGGGGCTATACTTGCCTCCTGTGCGGGCCTCGAGCACATGGCCCCTCTGTCTACAGGTGGGGCAGGCTACCTCTGGACAGGAGGTGCAAGTAGGTGCTTGAAAGCCACCCGAGGGGTAGCTCCAGACCAGGAAGGCAGGTGACACTTGTCAGCATGGCCAATGACCTCCTGCCAGCCCATAGGGATCCACCACTCCCTGCTGCCCCTGGCACTGGCACTGGTGCTAGGGTGGGGCAGCTCTGGGTGTGGGTATGAAGAACAGGTACCCACGGGGTGACTGGGGGCTCCCCAGGAGGGCACCTGTCTCAGCTTCACACACTGCAGAAGCCCTGTTCCTTTTAGAGCCTCCAGGCTCCTGACCTTCCGGGACTTCCTGTTTCATGAAGCAGGGAGGCTGGCTCTTCCCTCTGAGGACACTGGGTCTGGGCTGCAGTGCTGAGGCTGCGGAGCAATGGCTGCCTGAGGTTCGGCCACCCACCACCCGCAGGCCCAGCTCTGGCAAGGCCTCAGAGACAACCCAAAGGCAGCCAGCCGCCTTCTCCGCAGCTGGAGTGAAACCAGCCGACCTCAGAAGTCTGCACATTCAAGCTGGCCTCGGGGGTTCTGCCTTTGAGAAACATTGAGGAGAGGGGCGGGGGCTGACCAAGCACCAGGGAGCCAAGGGGCCAGGTGTGGCATGTGCTGCCAGAGAGGACAGGGGTGGAATCAGGCTGGCCAGTCTCCACAGAGGAGCTTCCTGGCTGAACCCGAGGAACTACAGTGTGACATCCCAGCTAGTCCTGCCTTCAGCCAGACCGAGGTCTTCTCTCTGGAGGAAGCTGGAGGGCCGCTGGCCTGGCACAGGGTCCTGGGGCGGGCAGTGCCTGCTCTCCACTGAACGTTCCTGTTGTGCTCAGCACAGCCCCGAGCTGAAGTCACCATCCTAAATGCTCCCCAAAGACCGTGTCACTGGTCTCTTCTCCTGTCAAGCCCAGCCCCCTTTCCCTGCTCAGCTGGTGGTCTGGCCTGTCCTGCCACGTGGGTAGGGCTAACTGCACTACGGGTGGGGAACCCGTGCTGACCTAGGCAGTGCATGCTGGAGGGGACAGGAGCACACTGACCCAGCGAGCTGGGCCTGAGACGCACAGGGGTGCGCACAGCTGCAGATTTCTCCTTCTGAGCAACAGCAGCTTGGTGGGAAGTGTGGGGGTGTCTGGCTGGACCAGGGCCTAGCATGACCCATGAGTCCCTTGCCCATGGCCAGGAGACACACCAGTGAGGACACGGGGTGGGAGTACATGTTACCAGCCCCTAGCTGCTCAGCCCTAAGCTCTGTCTGCCTTCAGGATCAGCTTGTGGGGAGAGTGTAAGCTGTGGCCAGGCTGGCAGGAGTCTGTGCAAGTAGGCCCAGGCCTATGCCAGGGAGCAGGGCAGGGGCCTCAGTGCTGCTCGGGCCTCTCTGTCATTTGGAACCTCCAAGCATGTCACAAAGCTGTCTGCTGCTGGCTCTGGAGGCAGAGGCGCGAGGCTGCGATGGGCCAGGCCACAGCCCTGAGTGTGGCCCATGTGCACACCCGAGACACCTCCCCAGGCAAGCCCGAGCACCGCCTCCAAGACAAGCCCCTCCGCAAGCCAGGGCCAGGTGTGTGCGTGTGGGCCTGCGGTGTGCACGTGGCAGTTTGGTTTCTTGGTAGTGTTGTCCCAGCAGCGTGCCACATGGCCACCATCTGTGGGCTGCCTGCTGCCCTCCCAATCGCCCTTCGCCCTCTCCCTGCCCTGGGAGCCTGCAGAGCTCCTTGGTACCAGGCTTGGCTACTGAGCCAGCTCGAGTGTGAGGCCTGGGCTAGCAGCTGAGTGACAGAGAGAGGGTCAAGAAGGTGAGAAGCACCCCCCCTCCGTGGACACCCGACAGAACCTTCTCAAATGCCAAAAAGCCAAGCGTCACAAGGTGACAAGTCCAAGAAGGGAGGCCAGCCCATGGGCGCAGCCACACCCTGCTCTTCCAGAAGTGCCACCAAGCCCCTTTGGGGAGAGAGGGGCACAGGAGCGAGGGTGCCTGAGAAGGTTGCTGAGCCAGGCAGAGGTGAGCGCAGGGCGGGGCCAGGCCTGCTCGTTCTCTGTGGGCAGGTGGAGGAAAGACAGTCCCGCTGGTCTGCTCAGGAAGCACTGCCAAGGGGCTGCCCTGCTTGGGGCAGGGCTGCCCTGCTTGGGGCTGGGCCGCTCTGCCCGCCCTTCCTGGGAGGAAACATGGGCAGAGGGGCCCGTGGTGGGAGGGGTGGGAGTCTCTGTCTGTAGCTGTCCCACCACTCAGAGAACAGAAGGTGGCTAAAGCTGGTCCTGACTAGTGGGAGGCCTGGGAGCAGACACGGTGGCTTTTCCATGGAGACACGGGTGTGCAGGCCCTGTGGAGCTGGGGATGGAGGAGTGGCCAGTGCCTGGTGTCCAGAGGGTGTGGGCGGGGACCCGCCATCTGGGGAGGCAAACCACAGCCCCGCTCACAGGGCGAAGAGGGCATCCTCAGACCGCTCAGGTTTCTTCCGGCCAGAAGGGTTTGAGGCCGGGGAAGGAGCCTCCATGGGGGGCGAGGGGAGGTCGGGAACCATTTCAGCAGCTTTGGCTCTTTCTTCAAGGAATTTGTCAAACTCTGCAATACAAACCAAGGAAGGGTTAGGGTTGGTGAGGGCTGCCCACCAGAGGAAGCACAGCCTTCCACTCCCTGGCCTCAGTTTCCTCCTCTAGGGCAGGCATGAAGTCACCCTAGGAGCAGGTGGGTGGGGAGGGCTTCATAAGCTGCAGTGTCGGGGGAAGGTCCTGGCTGTGCCCAGCTCTCCAGGCCTGTAGGGAGAGGATCTGGAAAACACAGCCTGGAGCACTCATCCCACTGCTGATTTGGGGTTTTGTCCATTTTCCAGATCAGCACTGGGGGTGGGGCAGTGTGAGCTGGAGGGGCCGGCTCCTGATTAACCAGGTAGGGACCATCCCACGTACCCCACCCCTGCCCACCGACAGGGGAGACTGAGGAGATGCCGAGGAAGGCAGTGGAGAGGGGGTAGTGCCCCACTGACAAGGCCTAGGGAGCGGGGTCCTGATGGTTCCCTTCCCACGGAGCTGTCTGACCACAGGGTCTGGCAGACTTGGAGAGGGGACAGGAGCACGGGCAGGTGGGTGGAGTGGGGCAGGATGAACTTCGAGGGCAGGACGTGAAGGGCAGGGAATGTGGGGGTGGCCGCGTGGGAGAACTAAGACCCCGCTGCTCCCATCCAGCCCATCAGCTGAGGCCCCAGAGAGGCTCCTCCCTCTGGCTCAGTGGCCCAAGGGTGCTGCTGCACGCCCTGACAAACTGCGCATGTCTGAGCTGGGCGGAGCACCTGTGGGTGGGGACCCGGTGGCAATCTGCACCCACTATTCACTAGCTCTGGAACCTGGCGGAAGTCACATGTTCTTTCCGACCTCTGTTTCCCAATAAACTAGATAAGAGAAATAACACTTCCTGTATCAGCATAAGACCTGGGTGGGACCAAGCCACCTGTGAAGCCCACGGCTCAGGGCTTGGCACCAGGTGCTCTGGCAGTGGAGGCTCCAAGGCGACGCGGGGGCAGGCCCTGTGCAGCCTGGGGCAGGAGCAGCAAATGGGGGCTGTAAGGCCGTTGGCCAGGCCATACCTTCACTTGTGACACCCTCCTCCAGGTCGTCGCCCTTCTGTGGGAGAAGCAGAGAGAATGGAATTAGGGCACTGGCCCCAGCACTGCCGGCCCAGCCACCTGTCTGCCCATGGCCACCCCAGGGCAGCACTGCCCAGGGGAGCCTGAACAAAATTTCCTAATTTTCCCTGTTTCCAGATTCCTGTGCAAAATACTGCTCTTCTTATTGGAGTAATAGAAGCTTTTTTTTTTTAAAAAAAAAAAAAAAAAAAAAAAAAGCAAAAAAATTCAAATATGTTTTAGGTTTTGATCTTCCAGAAGGGCTGGAAAGATAACTCCAAAAACGGTGCAGGCCGGTTCTCCTGCCTCGGCTGTGGAGGGCGGATCTCGCCTTCCGCACTCTCGAGGCTGTAGGGAGAGGCGCAGAGCAGTAGCCACAGCAGCTGAGCCTGAGCACACGCAGGGTCACGCGTGCCCAGCACAACACCCACTTCACGCCAGCCACGGGGTTTCTGCGAAGACACTGTTCACACCAATAGCTGGAAACTGCACGCAGCCTGGATGTCTCAGGGCCACAAAGCCCACAGCACAGGGCCTGTCACTCAGTAGGTGCTTTGGCAGTGGAGGCTGTGCCTCCAGAAGCCATGTCCCGCAGCCTCCTGGGAGCTGCACCAGCCTCCTCTTGTGGCCCAGATTCCGTCACCTGCTGCCGGCTCTTGAAGGAGCCACGGAGGCTCTGTGCACTCAGAAATTAAAGTGCATCAGACCTGATTTTGTTTGGAGAACACGGTGTGTCTTAAGCTCCTGGGGGTCCCGGGGGACTGCATGGGCAGGGCCTTATCGGGAAGGGGCAGGATGGGGAAGTGACAAAGCCCTGGGCTGGGCTAGGAGACCTGGGTCCTTCCTGGCTCTACCACTGACCTGCTATGTAGCCTTACTGGACACTTCCCTTCCCTGTCTGGACCCTGGGGTCCCCCTTAGAAGTTAAGGACCTTGGTCCTTCCTGCCTTGCTTCTGTGAGAGGAGCACTTTATTTTCGAGGTATCCCCTTGGGAAAGATGTCCCGGGGTGTGTTCTTCCTCCCTGACACCCTGGCAGCTGCCTCCTTTGGCAAGGCATGTCTTTGGAAAGCCTGACCTTCTGGGGAGGAGGCCCCAACCTGAGGCCTGCTGTCCTAGCGTGGGAGAGGCCAGGTCACCAGCCCACAGACAGCCAGGTTGATTGACCCTGTGGTTAAAGAACTCAACAGGCTCTTCTGCTTGGGGATAAGACACCCTGCAGAGTAGGCAGCTAGGAGGGAGATGAGGTGTCTCCAGCTCTGGGGGAGAATCCAACTAGCCCATGACTCTGGGCAAGCCACTTCCCAGAGTGCACTTCTTCGCCTGCCACCCTGACTCCCCACTGGGCTGCTGAGACTGAAAGAACAAAGGGAGGGACCAGCAGGTGTCATCACAGCCACTGCAGCTCCCCTTTCTTGGGACCTGTTGCCATTTTCAGATGCATAGTATCCTCATCTTCCAGCCCTATCTCCGAGGACGGAGACAATGGGTCTTTGGGGCAGGGGTTCTTTTAAATCAAAAATTAGGAAGGCAGGAGGGGGATGACAGCGAATTAAAAAACAAAAGCACCGTGTGTATACTTCACAATTAAAAGAAAAAGAAAACAAAAAACAAAACAAAACAAAACATGCTCCCCCACCCCCTCCCCCGAAAACCAAAGCACGCACACACATCTAAAATGGAAAAGAAACTTGGGGGAAGGCAAGTGTGTGTTTTGGAGCCGGCCAGGGCTGGGTCTGCGTGGGTGAGGGAGGCTGTGCCCAGAGCCTGGCCCCAGCACAGCTGGCCTCCCCAGGCCGGGAGGCCACCGCAGCACCTGCGGCTATGGGCTGATGTCGGGGAGGAGGGGGAGCTACAGAGCTTGCCCAGACCTCCCTTCTCCACCAACCCAGACAGGGGTGTAGCCCCCGCCGACTCTCCCCCAAGGCCTGTCCTCAGAAGAGTCTCTGCCGCTCCACACCCCACACATGAAATATAAAAGTCGAATCTCACCAGGTCCGTCCTGAGCCACACCTCAATGTCGTCCATGACAGAGGGCTGCGCAACGGGGATCTATGGAGGCGGCAAGCGGCGGGCCAGGCAGCCCCCACACAGCCAGCGAGGGAGACAGAACACCGAACAAAGGAAATCATCAACAGCAACCCCAAATGAAACCAAAACGTACACAGAGCAAAAAAACACCACTGCACGGCACACAGGGGCAACATGGGGCAGCCGTATGTGAGATGGCAGATGAGGAAAGCAATGAGGAGCGAATGAGAAGAAGCAGGCTGCCTGGCAGGGCCAGCGGGAAGGAAGGGGGCTGTACATGTTCTTCAAATGGAGAACTTTTTGACTATGCATTTCCACTCTCATATTGCGGGGTCAGCCCTGGGCTGCAAAGCGCCTTCTAACCCCAGGAAGGTGCTGTCATGCAGGTTGATTTTGAACTCAGCCACTGTGATTGTCCACCATCAGGCCCAACCCAGAGGAGGCCAAGTGACCGCCCGCCCAGAGCAGGGTACAGGTGCTCAGGAGGGCGGGCAGCACCAGCCCTGGGGGATGTAGGGGTTGGTTTGCTCAGCTGAAGATATTTCGAAATGCATCCTGGTGCATTTCTGAGTGGAGAGGGGCACTGGAGGAGGTGCGCACTCCCTTGGACTGGGTGTGGCCTGGTAGACAGAGGCAGGCACATTTTACCATCAACAGAAACACAGCAAAAAACGAGGGCTTTGATGACCAAGGGGCCTGTGGGGCTTTAGTCTTCTATGTGTCTCTTTGGGGAAATTAATGAAGCAGCCCTGAAGGCCGCAGCTCCCTTTAGTCTGGCCCTTTCTTCGCTGTGCTCAGTGACTGGCTGTGCTTCAGGAGTCAGAGAAACCGAGTTCAGCTGAGCACTGGGTGCAGCAGCCAGAGCCAGGGAGTTGGTGGCTTCCAGGCGAACTAAGGTGTACCTCGGGGGTGCTCAAATAGCCACCTTGCTTGGGCCACTGTGCCAAGCGCCTCAGGGACAGAGACTCTGAAAAATCCATGTGTCAAATAAGATGTGGTAAGGAGTAAAGGTAACCTTTAACTCCCTAGAAGCCATGTTAATGGAATGTTGGCTCCCAGCCTAGGAAAATGGGGTGATGGCCCTTCATCACCTCCTCACCTACCCTGGCTCTGGGAAGTACCCTCCTAGGGCTCACCATTTCTATAAAAAAATGCCAGCACTGTGTCTATAGCAGGCTTCACCCTAATGCCATGATCTAGGGTAAGACTAATGTAAAAATAAGCAGTAAAAGGAATACCTCAGTGTCTATCAAATGTAAAAAATAACACGACCCTCACAAAGGAAAAAAGCAAAGAACACGTATCAGCAGCAGTGATGTGACAACTCTGGTCCTGGAGGTTGACACGTGCTGCTGCTGGTGGGGGAGGGTGGTTTGGGACCCAGCACTCTGAGCAGGTGTCTGCGATGCCACCAGAGCTCTTCACTCCCTCAGTGAGCTCGGCTGGTCCCTTTCTCTGAGGAATGTACTCTGTGTCCTAACTTCAGACCCAACGTGGGAAGCCCACAAGATCATTTTCAGAAAGGCCCAAGCCAGTCACTGATCAGATTAAGTAGAGTCTGTGTTGCCCATTATTTCTTTGACTTATTGGTGACTTAAGAATGTTGAATTGGGCTGGGAGCGATGGGTTACGTCTGCAATCCCAGCACTTTGGGAGGCCAAGGTGGGCAGACTGCCTGAGGTCAGGAGTTTAAGACCAGCCTGAGCAACATGGAGAAACCCAGTCTCTACTAAAAATACAAAATTAGCTGGGCGTGGTAGCATGCACTTGTAATCCCAGCTACTTGGGAAGCTGAGGCAGGAGAATCACTTGAACCCAGGAGGTAGAGGTTGTAATAAGCCGAGATTGTGCCATTGCACTCCAGCCTGGGCAACAAGAGTGAGACTCCCGTCTAAAAAAAAAGAATATTGAATTGAAAAGGCACCAGGGAGTCTCATCACCCAGACATGAAGCCTAGGGACAAGAAGCATGTGCGTCCTCACTGTGAGGTGGAACACAAATGACGGATCGACGTGCTAACAATGCCTAAGGCGGGCACTACCTTGCCCATCAAAAAGCTGTAGGGCACACACGTGCGATCTGCCACTCTGTGCTTGCTGGCAGGCTTTCCACCTTGACACATTCCTGGAATGGGACATGCCAGTTATCATGCTCTCCATGCCTGTAAGTCAGAATGCCTGGCCTCTGGGAGGACACATGCCATGCTGAGTCCCCAGAACTGAAGCTCAGAAAGTCAGCAGCGTCTCCGGAGAGAAAACACCCCCACATGAGCGGTCAGAATGCACACCAGCCCTTTCTTTACACCTGACCGACTTTTGTTCACTTAGGAGAAACTGAGATTAGATGTCCTGAGCTTTCCAATGTGTTGCAAAAGCTAGAACAAAGACACTAAGGGGTCGGGGGCTTGAACCTTCAGATTTATCGTGTAATTGTTTTGTTGCTGCTGAAGAACAAATCCTTTAAGCCTGGGATCATGCTCTACTTTTCTTTGGAGATTAATCTTGAGAGCCAGCATGCTCAGAAAATAAACAATGACACTTAAGAAATGCCTCACCCCCTCAAAGAGTTTCCCAAAAGTTGGATCATGGGAACCCTTTTCTTCCCTGTTCTAGATTTTTCCAAATAAGTGGTATGTTTATGGAATGGCATCCTCCAGCCCAAGCCCTAGAGGGCACTGGGTGGGGTCCATTTGGACCCTCACACTCATTGGTGGCAGGACCTGGGGTGAGTCGCTTCTCTCTGGACCCCACTTTCTTCACCTGAGAGCTCCCAAATTTCTTCTATCTTAAGAAGCCTCAGAGATCTGGGTGGAGAGTAGGGGACAGAGGTCTGAGCAATGCTTGGCCTCAATGTCCTCATCTGGCACTTGCTAGGTTGTATTTGGTTTTCAATACTAATGACTCAGAACCCTTAACTCCCAGGTTGGTGCTTCTGTTTTCTAATTCAGAAACCCGGGGATATCAGAAATGATTGGAAGTGACTCATTACAATATGGAAGGCACTTGGCCTCAGGGCGTGAACCATGGTGGAGCGGCTTGCTGGCTGACAGTTAAGCTTATGTAACATACACTAAAACTGACTTTCTTGTGGCCGGACACAAAACCTTAGCATCTAAACCTCTTGTCCTGGTAAATAAATGCCTTGAGTATGACAACAGGGCAAAGTTCCTTCTAATAATGTAGGTGCTATCAGAATCAGACTAAACATGGACACTGCTTGGAAAATATGAACTAAAGAAACTGTGGGAGGCCGAGGACGCGCTCCTCATCAGGCCGATGGGAGGGAAGCGGGCCCTGGCTAGAGGAGGGGCACTGTGTTGTTCTAGGGGACTCTTGGTTTCTTCCATGCAGCTTTGGGCGAGTCACCAGGCCCCTGGGAGGCCTTGGCGTCCTCATCTGTCAAACTAGGGGCTGGCCCAGCAGATTCCTAAGGCAGCTGTTGGCTCTGATGTTCATAGTTTTATTTTTATTTTTGTTTATTTTGAGACAGAGTCTTGCTCTGTTGCCCAGGCTGGAGTGCAGTGGTGCAACCTTGGCTGACTGCAACCTCTGCTTCCCAGGTTCAAATGATCCTTGTGCCTCAGCCTCCTGAGTAGCTGGGATTACAGGTGTGTGCCACCACATCCACCTAAGTTTTTTGTATTTTTAGCAGAGATGGGGTTTTGCCGTGTTGGCCAGGGTGGTCTCAAACTCCTGGCCTCAAGTGATCTGCCCACCTTGGCCTCCCAAAGTGCTGGGATTACAGGTGTGAGCCACTGCGCCCAGCCTGATGTACCACAGTTTCAGCATTTTCTTGGGCAATGATCCAAGCTGAAGGCTGGTCTGAGGGATCTGAAGAAGAGTATGAGTTGGAAGAGGGGACAGAAAGGAAGAAGACATGTGAAGAGGGAAAAGGGAAGGAAGCTAGCACAGGAAAGCCCTCCAGTAGAGCCTACAGCCCGAAGCTCAGCCAGGCTGGCTTGGCCGAGGCAGTGGTTAGACTAGCCCTGCCTATTTTCAAAGTCCATAGACAGGCATCTGGGATGTCAGAAGCCACAGGTTTTGATGTGAGTAGCAGGTGAGCCACGCTACTGTCTGCTGATTCTTACTTGGAACTGCAGGCAGGGGCGGCTCTGCCTCAGGGATCAGGAGGGAGGGTTGCCTGCCCAAGGGGGAGAGGGGTGTCTGGTACTCCAGGAGTTAGGATTAACCTTCCAGAGTAAGAGGAGCCTTGGGGGCCTCAAGGTGTGAGTAGGGAGTCCTGCCCTCCAAACCCACACCTGGGTTTTGGCAGCAGCAGACTCTACTAACCTACCACTGCTCCTGTTTTGACTTACGAGGGTATCTTCCTGGCTGCACCCTGCATAAGGAAGACACCCCAAGCTAATCAGCAGCCAGAAGAGGCAAAAAGACCTCACACTAGAGAGGCCAGGGAGAGAGAGCACAAGCCTAGGAGTCTCCCTGAGAGCCGCCCGGCGCTGGCCCGTTGACAGACCTCATTTCTCTTCAGCCGGTAATAAGCCTGGTGGTGGTAGTTAACTTCCACACACCTGAGACCCAGGAGCCTAAGGGCTCCATCAGATGCTCCTCTGCAGCTTCCCACAGCCCCAGGCCCACAAGGGAACCCAGCTGTGCAGTTTTCAATGCAACAGGAACAATTTCTCTAGCTCAGGTGTGCTATTTCCAGAGAAGCCGTGAATCCCTTCCTACGACACTTCAAGCACCACCCCTCTGAGACGAAGTCTAAACGCCTTTGATCTCACTCAATAGTACAAAAAGTTTCCAAGTAAAGAATTTGTACTTGGGAGGTTTGAAAAGACTCAGGGTTTCTACACTAAGGGAAATAAGGCAAAGCAATTAATATTTGTTGTTGTAAAGACAAAAAAAAAAAAACAAGTAAGTCAGGCAAGACACCAGGTTAGCTGTTAGTTACGTTTGTTTTTGGGAAGTTAGAGACTGGAGCTGTCTGTGGGGACCAGGCAGCGGGGGGCAGTCTGTGTGGGCAGAGGCAGGCGCCACCACCAGCTGCCAAGGCTGCCCTCACGGGAGTTTGTATGGGCAGTATCCTTTTTTGCAGGATAAATAGGCACAAGGACACGTGGGCTGGATCTTCCCAATGAGTGGACATGATCTCGAGAAGCCCTGCTGTAAGGGCCCCGACATGTGGGCCAGAGCCCAGCCTGTCCCTGAAGAAGCAAATGAGAGGCCTGGGCCAGCGCATCTCTCTAAGAACAGGCTTGGGGTGCAGTGGAGGAACTGCCTCCTCACCCAGAGCAGGAGTGTGCTGCTGCTGTCACAGGTGGCGGGAGACCTGCCCGGGCTGACAGCAGAGCTGTGCAGAGGGCACCACCCAAGCTGGGTGGCAGGCAGATGCCCCTCACCCCCATGGCTCTGGGTGGTCCTGCATGGCCCAAGTTCCTGCTCACTGGTCACACTTTGCTCAAGCAGGTGGCCCCTGTGCTGCCTGCAGTCTAGGGCCTGCTGGCCTTTCCTCCGGCCACAGCCTGGCATAGCACACTAGGGGCAGTTATGTATTCCTCTCACCCCGCCCCACCTGGAGGGAGAGGCCCAAGTTCCCACTGCTTTCATCATCTTTCCTTCTCTGCGTTTTCTCCAGCTCAGGCTCCACCACATGGACACAGAGCTCAGGGCTCTGAAAGAGGTGAAATGGTCATCCCAAGGCATGCAGCCCGAGACAAACTTCACCTCTCTCCATGCACCAGCATCAGGGCCACGTGAACAGACAAGGCGGGAGAGACCCTTGCAGGGCTGTGGGCCAAGAAAGCTCTGCTACATGAGAACTAACTGCGTTTATAAGATTGAACTCCCATAGGCTTTGTCTTCTTTGATTTCTGTTTTGTGTATTTTTTTTTTTTTTTTT